AAAAAAAAAAAAAAAAAAAGACTACTGTAAGGATACTTAGGATCCAGAATGCAAGCTAGCCATTAGGCTTCTGTGTTGCTTGGACGATGAGATCACTGGTTACATGGCCTTAAACATGGCTTGCTGTTTACCATTGCAGGAGAAAGACAATGCTTACGAAAACAGAAGAGCACTTTTCAACTATGAAAAACCATAGAAGCATTTTATTTTACATCACTGAAAATCCAACTCCAGAAGCTATGGTAGCACTTAACAGGCACACACTAATCAAGTCTTAAAAAAACAATCAAAGGTACATGGAAAAGACAACATCTGCAAAGAAGGATGCCAGAGAGTAAGGAAACCGTAACTATAGTAACTACAAAAATACTACAGCCAACAAAATACAACTGAAAAATCTTTTCCTAATTCACCAAGAAAATTTTAAGCTAATGTTTTCAAAAACTTTTATAACATGTACTGTAAGTTTGTTTTGGTCAACATTATAATAAAGTGTGTGATGACTGCTACCCTGAAGATCTGAAGTCAAACCACATGCCTCAACACTGAGTGGAAGAACTGTCTTTCTGAGTTGTAGAAATGATACAATTAAAGTAGAGAAATTCATTTTGAAAAGTACTCAGTGAGGAAATTATTTCCTCTGATACTGTAATGGTATCATTAGAATGGTATAGCACAATGGGCAATGGTACGGTGCACACTTGCCTAACAGGGTATGCAAAGTAAATTACAGTATGTTACCAGCAAAAAGCGAGAATACAGACTAGAGTTAAGAATATTAAAGCCCAAATATAGGAAATCAAAGCAGGTTAGAGAAAACCTCAGAAATAAGCCACAACTGACTCTAGATGTCAGTGTTGTGCCAAATAACCAGCACATGCAGCTGGCATGGGCTTTACAAGTACATTTGCAATACTGATTTTTAACAAACTGAGACAGGGAGGAGATTATCAGATGAGGGGCTGGGTATAGCAAAGGTATTTGTAGAATTCATTACCACTTCACTAAGAAAACATGACATGGATTATTCTTTGAAGGCAACTTTGATGTAAAAAATCTAAAGCACAAGGGTGTATTTATTATTACACATGAATTACACCTATTATATTTCACTAAATGTTTCATTAAAATGTTTCTTTAAAACTAGTATTAAATGAGGTATGTTCTTTTTAAAACCTAGATAGAATTTTTAAATATTTTAAGATCCCTTTGAAATAGTTTTGCATTGATGGCTTAAATCAGTGATACCAAACCTTCTAAGTACGTGTGCCCCAGAAAAATGGAAAGAGAGGAGGAAGCATGTGACCTCATTTTGTTTGTGTGTATGTGTGTGTGTGCATGAGTGTGTATGCACATGTGTATGTTGTATGTGTGTTATGTATAGCATATGCTATGTATGTATGGATATGTCTGTACTTTATAAACAAAACCAGAAATTAAACAGTGGCATAAATAGCAATATAAATAGAAATGCTAATACTTCAGGTGAAATAAACTAGATAGCAAAAAGAAAAAAACCTCAGTAAGCACTAATTTCATCTGGATGAATAGAAGTAGGTAGAATTAGATTATTTACTTTCCATTTCTGGGAGTCATTACATTTTGGTACTTAATTCCAGGGCTGAAAATACACTGTTCTTTCTGTAGCTAACTAAGAGACAAAAATCTTTAAGATAAATTAGTTTTTGGTTCAGAATATGCCTCGTCCAAATATAAGAAAGAACTATATTTCAAAGATTGATTTTTAAGGAATCCGCTTTCCAAAAGAAAGGGGTTCCATTGGGTCATTTATTAAGAGTGCCTGATATATATAATATTCATTCTCTTATTTATCCATTGAGCCAACAATATTAATTAAGTGGCATACTATCATACAAAGTTCTCTTTTACACCTTATCCTTGTGTTAAACTCGCCCTACCCTAACCCCAGATCTTGTTCACACCTTCATGCGTTTGCATATGCTGTTCCCCTCTGCCTAGTAAAATGCTTCAGACTACAAAGCTCAAATGTTACCCCCAAGATAAAACCTTCTCACCCTCGGTAGAATGCTGTGGCATAACAGCTCACAGCAACCTCAAACTCCTGGGCCCAAGCAATGCTCTTGCCTCAGCCTCCAGTAGCTGGGTATACAGGCGCCTGTCACAACACCTGGCTATTTTCTGCTGCAGTTGTCATTGTTGTTTTAGCTGGCCTGGGCTAAGTTTGAACACACCAGCCTCGGTGCATGTGGCCAACACCATGACCACTGTGCTACAAGCACCAAGCCTCATGCTTCTATTTTTATTTTGAATTTTTGTAAATAGAATCTAGTGATCCATTAAAAAAAGAAAAGAACTATTGGCCAGGCCCAATAGTAGATTACAACTGTAATCCTAAAACTTTGGAATGCAAGAGGATCACTTCACCCCAAGAATAGCATAGCAAACTCTACCTCTATGAAAAATGTTAAAAATGAGCCAGGCAGGGTGGTACACAACTGTAGTCCCAGCTACTCAGGAGGTTGCTTGAGCCCAAGAATTCAAAGTCTCAATGAGCTAATGATTACTCTACACTGCACTCTAGCATGGGCAACAGAGTGAGACCCTCTATCTTAGGAGGGAAAAAAAAAAGCTATCAGGTTTAAGGCCAGAAATGCAAGGGTGGACAAATACATTAGAAAAGAGCTATTAATTTAATAAGTCAAGGAAGGGAAAACAACGTGACCATCTCCAGAGATGTTGAAAACTCAGGTGACAAAATTCAGTATTGATTCCTGATCTTTAAAGTTCTTAATAAAACAAGATATAAAAGACATTACTATCACCAGCCGAACAACAGCAATCTCAAGTCAAAAGCTGACATAATATTTAAAGTAGAAATATTTTCATTAAAGTTAGAAATAAGACAAAAGAGTCTGCCAGCTGCAGTATCTACAAGTACACAAACTCGGTCTCCTCAAGTAAAGGTGTTACACCCAACTTGAAGTTAACAACCAGCTCTGAGAAGGAGAAGGCCATTTTTAGTGTTTGCTAATTTCCATGGTATACTCACACCATGGTCAATTTTAATACTAGCCACATTTAACAACCAGTTCGCTTAATTCCTAGCAATATAAAAGTCAGATCTCATGAGTCAGTCCCAATCAGCTCCAACACATTACTGCTTACACCCAATGACAGTGCATACTACTAAGAAATACTTTCTTGGATACATTTAAGTGGGAAAAGGCAATGAAAGCATTTATTATGGATTTCTATTTATATAATTTTTTAATGTACATACTTATATTTCTGTAGACTATCTTTTGAAGAATATTTAAGATACACGAACAATATTATGAACTGGAGTAGATGAGAAACTCTTCATTGTACACCCCTCTTGACCTGCTTAAGCTATTTTTACCCTAAATTACCTTCTTTTTTTCCTGAATTTGGCTTTCAACTGGCTTTCACTTGTCTCAGTTTGAAGTTTCTTTTTTTTTTTAACTTTATTATTATTTTTTCTTTTCTTCCTTTAGTGATTCTCTTGCCTCAGCCTCCCAAGTAGCTGGGACTACAGGTGCCCCCCACAACACCCAGCTTTTGGTAGAGACGGGGTCTCACTCTGGCCCAGGCTGGTCTCAAACCTCTAAGCTCAGGGCAATCCACCCTAGTGCTCTGGCTTTACAGATTACTAGGAATATAGGTATGAGCCACCACGCCTGGTCTGAATTACCTTTTAATGAAAGTTACAATTTTGAAAAATTAAATATCACTAAAATTTGAATTGTACAATACAGTTTTCCTTTTCTTGGTTATACATTTTTCCTTTTTGAGAGGGGCACCTAAAACAATTCTCAATACCTAGACTGATGAGAACTTTAGGACTAAACACGTCTACTATAACCAGACCATAACCCCAGGAAAAAGTGAGAAAGTTGCCAAAGGGTTGTATAAATAATTTTTTAATGTTCGTACATACTTATATTTGCATGGACTAGCTCACTAGGTTCTCACTAGATTTAACAACCCCTAACCAAAAGTGGGGTCAGTAAACCAAATAAACTGTACTGATGTATTAGAAAGATGTACTTTTGCATTTTGTTTTTCCCCAACTTAACCTAAGTTACAAAATTGCAAGTGTTTTGCTTTCAAGACATTTATTATCAAAAAAAATTAGACAAGTAATCATTTCACCTATAACTGCTTTTGTTAAAAAATAAATTAAACCCCCCAAAATTAATTAATTAATTAAACCAGGTCTGCCAAGCATACTCAGCTATCCTTTTAAAAGCCCAGTATTCATGCATTCCCACGGCAAAACCATTTTCCACCTTCCAGTCTCCACACAGTTTCACATGGAAATCATCAGGATCTAATTAGTGACTTAGAAAAAGGAAGCAGTAATAGAGTACCATGGAGTAGTCTCAAAATTTATAAGTCACTAAAGGTCACCCATAGAAACAAGGCGTCTAGTCTCAGGTTTGCAATGTGTCATGTGCCAGAATCCTTAGACTCAACAGGCAGCTCTGTGCATCCACAATCAAGGAGCTTGTTTCCAATCCTTGATGGAGACTGCCCTCTTGTCTAGTTTGACTTCCTTTCAACTTTTAGTGTCAGAAACACAAGGAAATAAAAGCCACGGTTAGACTGATGTTTCTTCCCCCTGCTCTTCCACCTCCTGCTATGCCAGGAAGTAGCATTAAAGTTCTATCATGTGGCCGCCCTACAGGACACAGGAAGCCAGGACCTTACCACCTGATGACTAGTGAGTGCAATGCAGAAAGATGAAGCTGAGGCTTAATTACCCAGGGAATAAGGTCAGGCTGCTGCATTACCAAGGACATGTACTCAGATTTTTTCAAAACTGTGCAACATATACATAATTTATAAACAGATACTTAAAGCAGATTTCTTCTTTATCATGACAAACCATTCAACAGCAAGAATGCAAAAATGGCAATTTAAGATGGAAGTGGAGAGGTCTGTTCTACCTGTTCTCTTCCACTCCCTTCCGTATCTCAAGAATTCCCCATTTTCCCCACCATCAACACAAATCTGAAACCATTTGGTAAATGTTAAAACAAGCATTGAATCTGAAGGAACTAGGGCCTGGGGGCAAGGGGGCAAAGTGGCAGATAAGGACAAGAAGAAACTAAGGAGAAAGCAGTGGTAATACACATCCACACAGAACTCTGTGGTTATAAGAAATATGAGCATTATTCCTTAAGACAGAGATTTTCACGGTATTTAAACACTTGCAAGATAGTAATGGATTTCTTTAAAATGTCTGTGAGCTTTTAAGTTTTTGAAGCCAAGGTCAAACTAGGTAGCAGAGTAGAAAAACTAAAGATTTTTAAGTAGTAACATGTATTACTTATGTAATAAATAGTTTTTATATTAATATACATTAACTTACAAGAATGCAAGAAACTTGAAGATGACCTAAAATACAAACCACATAAGCTAAAACTATGAATTATGAGACACTGTCACCCTAATTACCAGCAGTCACAGTAAATTGAAATGATGTAAAATCAACCCATTTCTTCAAATATATTCTTCCTTCAATATCGCCAAAGAGCAAAACTATGCCGTCAAAAAATCAAATGTTACACAGAGAAATTGATACATGCTCCAACACAAATGGTC